AGACGCCAGTCCCAGATCCTGGCGAAATGTTAGAAAACAAACCTTCCAGAACACGGCCACCCAGCCGGGGAGACCCACACCAGCCAAGCCTCTGAAAGGCTGTATACTGTGCACTCTCTCACTTTGAAAAAGTACCCAACTGCTAAATAAGAAGAGTTAAGTGCCTGCAGAATTACTGCACTGCAACGCAACAGACAAAAATCAGCCTTAAGGGGCTTTAGAGGGAAATTCAACCTAGGAAGGAGAAATTAGCATATGTTGGCCAGTATGGGAAACTGAAAACAGAACTGAAACAACTTTTAGTCTGGTCCAGCAACACTATTAGTCTTATTTATAAAACTACCCCAGTGATGCAGCTCATTTTAGACCCTCGGTTTAGTGATCTTAACGTCTTCCAAAGTGTCTCTTTAGACAGATACGTTGCACAAATTCATTGGTGAAAAGCTCAATCGACATTGCTCCCACCCCATTCTCATTCTGTCCTACGCATCCTCTCCTGGACAAAAGTTTGCTCTTTTGAGTCTGTGTGTGAACTCCCCTTGAATGCAAGAAAACCAGAGCGCTGTCCTGCAGGGATAAAAGAGTCTGGTTTTGCCATCCAAATACTAAGGAGCGCTGAGAGGAATAATGCATTTTTAAAAGGGAAAAATAAAATCAGATAAAATCTATAACCAGGAAGATGCACAGCCCCCTGTCCTAATTTTTTTTTTAAAGAGTCAAAAGGAGGCCCTGCAATCAGTGCTACTAGTTCAAGGGATCCTAGCAGCTTCTTATCCCCAGGGGATAGATACATTGAGTTGCTAAACACTAGATTTCAGCTTTGAAGTCCAGCCCTTGCTGCCTCACTGACCAATCAATGCAACAGAACTCCAGTTCTTCCCCTTTGATGTGTCCAAACCCAAGAATCAAAGGCTCCATCTTGGCTTTCTTTCTTCCCAACCAACTTGTTGATTAAAGTGGGCTTTTTCCTCTACACCATGCCCCCAGGTGGGTTCAAAACACCCTGCAGAACAGCTTGCCCTGCAGAATGCCACCCTCTTCCAGTAAGGAAGTATGGAGGACATTGTTTTAGGAGGAGACTCGCTCCCATGGTGCTGGGGCACCCGGAGATCAGTGCCAGCATCCACCCAGCCCGCCTACCTTCCAGGAATTTTTAAAAATGATTTTAACTGTTCCCCAAAGAAAGGAGAAAACAAGATGGCAACTGTCTCCCAGAAAGAGGCAACAGCGTTTTCCCCCCGGCCATCCAGCACCAAGGTCTTCCCTTCAGATGCTTACCGCCACACAGAAGAAACCACAGCCTGGGCAACACTGATGTTTTACCATCCTCCCTCTGTGGTCCTCGCACAGCACCAAGAGCTGGACTTTGTTAGATGCACGCATCAGCTCGTATTTCAGCACGCGGTTGGTGCATCGGCTCAGCTGAGGTGGGGTAGGGAGAGAGGAGGGAGGGAGGGAAAAGAGGTTTCTGGCTAGCGCATGTGGAAGAGGGAACCATACGGCCTCCTCTGCCCCACCGTGATCGTCGGGAGCCCTTTCACACAACGGACCTAGGCAGGCAGCAAATCGCATGAGCCCCAAGCCAATTTGATATCCGAACAACAATTCATTTTGGGCCACAACCCGTGGAAGCTACATCTCATTTGGCCATCTGACAGAAGAGCGAGCCTCACATAAAAATGTAACTTATCCTAATTAAAATGCAAAAAGTCATCCAAGGAAAAGGATCGTTTCTGCCGAGAGAGATTACACGTCCAAACTCTGATGGGCTTTGTTTGAGAAAGAAACTCCTTCTTTCCTTTTTTTTTTTCCCCCTTCCAAATGCTGGCCCCAAATCTGCTTTTAGAAAACCTTTTTAGCCTCCCTACCCAAAACATTGAGTTCTCTTTTAGGGGGGAAGGGATTCTCCATATTCTTCATGCACCAGCTAGTTAAAAAGTGTGTGAACTGAGATTAAACACAGGGAACAATCTATGAGGTTCTATCCTGAACAGCCGAATCATTACCGCAAGTCACTTCTTGACACTACAGCTTTGGGTTGGCTTTTCCTTCTAATACTCTTATGCTAGTGCAGCAAGTAGAGGGTTTCGCTCTCCACTTTGCTTGGCCATGTCAACTTCTGATCTAGGACAGCCTTGGACTACAATTCCTATGATCTCTCGTGACTGGACATGCCGGCTGTGACAGGCAGAAGCTGAAGCCCAAATCACCAGGAGGGTAATAGGTTGCCCAACATATTTTATTTTTCTAGAATATTTTATTCTTCACTCTAGATATGAAAACACCCCTAGGCTGGTCTATGACCGTAATAAATATTTGATTCGATCTGAAAACTCCCCGACTCTCCACCAGTACCTCTTTTCTCCCCAGTTCAAAAGCTGCCAACCTGAGAGTCCAGAAAGCAGTCGTTCCGGCTTTTTAACCCTATTTATTACTCCAACGAGAGGTCATCCTGGTTAGAAAATCTCCTGCCAGTTACTTCCTAGCCAAGGACATTTATTAGCATTTGATTAACTCAGCAGTGGCTAATTGAAACCCTACTGGAATAAGCCGCTGCAGCAGCCGCTACTGAGAAAGTCTTCAGGAGCAAAAGACGTCTCGTGGGCTATGAAAGAGAAGGTCGCCTACCGGGGAAACCCAATGGTGGGGCAGCAGGAGGAACCAGAAGGTACCAGAGGCCAAAAGAAAGCAAGGTCTAAGAAAGAACTTAGTGAAAACCCATTCAAGATCACAAAGAGAGAAAAAAGATTGATGGGCACCTTGTTCCACAACACTTCCTGCACTGATTCCCAGCCAACCCAGTCACACCCAACTTCTCTTGTTGTACCCTAGCTGTGAACACACTTGCGGGTGCTTTCTCTACAAGAGCAGTGCCACCACACAGGGCTTTGTTCCAGGAAACAGGTGAGCTTCAAGCTCCTAACAGCAAGTAAATCTTAACATTCCCTCCATAAACAATGGTTTCCTGTTCTCTGTGTCCCATCTGGAGTGCACCCACTGTCTTTTGCCTCAGTTGGAATAAATGTGGTTTGTTGGTTGAGGTCTCACCAACTTGGTAAGCCGTAAGCCAGACTGGACAAACCATGACTACCAGGAATCATAGAGTGCACTGAGCCAAAACTAACCAACCAAACTCAGATTGTACTTAGACAGACGTGTGAATTCAGCCCACATACCAAGCGATTCCAAAGTACTGTTCTTTATGATGCGAGAACCCCACCGCTACATCACACCCCCTCTGAAAAACTCTCATCAGAGGACAAAAGTGAACTTCGAGACACGCAACGCACTCCATTTCTCTCACAATCAGAAGTGAAGGCTTTGGGAAGCTCAAGATAGGCTCGGCCTCCTAACAGTTAACCCATCCCAGTCCCAGGACAGGAGCTTAAGTGTTTGAAGCACAGGCTCAAAGTCCTAATACAGGACTGAACGTCTCTTTTGGACATGCAGGTGAACCAGACCATGCCAACTGTCACCCATAAGTAAAAGAGGGGAGACATAAAGGGACATTACCTCCTTATCCACGCTCTCTGTGGCCATGCACTGGTTATTGGCTAGCGTGGTGATCTCCCGGCTTTTGGGAGTTTCCATGCGGCAGCTGCAGAGAGGCACTTCCTGAAGACTGTCTGATTCCATTGCTCCAGGACCATTGGAAAGACCTGCAGGGGAAAAAAGAAAAACACAGAGGTTCCTACAGGAGGTTAAGAGAGCGAGAAGCACATCCCACATTCCCAAAGAACCTCATCAACCTAATCAACCTGCAGCAAAGCAGGACTAGCTGGCTTCTGGCTAGCCAAGTTTTACAAAGAGAGTCACAAATCACGAATAGGGGAAAGTCTGGATGGGTTACTAAGTATACAAGGGGGAGAATACACCTGTGCTAGAAAGTTTGTCCTTCTGATGGTGCCATTAAGCATGACTCCTGAGCAGTTCCTAAGACATTTGCTTTCAATCTTCCCAGGCTTTACTGTACGGGAAGAATATCGATGTTTATGAAGATTCTCAGTCATCCAGGTGGAATTGTCCAGAGGTTGAGTCATGGCAACTGGACTTCTTTTCTTTTTGGTAGAGACGTTTCGCTACTTGTCCAAACCGCCTCTTCAGTTAAAAAAAGTTGGTTAGGGGGACGCCTTTCATGCCCCCCCCCCCAAAAAAAATTTTTTTT